CAAAATCCCTTTTGGAAAATCTGAAGATCTATCTTGTGTAGGTTACATACAGCAAGGTGTGGGTGTCCGAAGTTAGAAGGTTTTGTGACAATTTATAGAGTTCCTTTCTTTTTGTCTTGGGTTTTCGAACCATTGCTGCAAGATCTCAAAATCTTGGCAAGGATTTACTATCCGTTATTGTACAGTAGTTTCTGTAGTAAGCTTTAATGATGTAACGACAGTACTGCCCTTCCAATAATTGGCACCAACCCCTTGAATAAACACTTTCTTTATATGTAGTTAGATTTAAAAAAAATTATCACTGGTATTGTGAAATTTGCCCACGGCTTTCATAGTTAATTTTTGAACATATATATTGACAGTGAGGAATGCTGGACAATGGTTGCCTAGGTAACACCTTTGGACCCCCTTATAAAAAATGCCTTGATGCACCTCTGATAATTAAGTTTAAGGAAGGCCTTGTTGTTCATAATGTATATATTGAGACTACTAAACTGCCAATAAAATACAATTTGTGAGTGAATTTTCATTTAGACTTTATCAGGTTAAAATAGATTATGTAAATATGGAGGGGAAAACGTAATACATGCCTCCCCTCAATAAAGTGCTACTTTTACCAATTCCCCCCTCCCTCCCTGGCAGTTTATTCCAAGAAACAAGGGTGTACAAGGCTATTCAATCCCTCCCCCCCCCCATGTACAATTGTGTAGTGCTTCATTTCATTATTTTATAATTTACTCGTAGGGGTTAAGAATATTCCTAACTGCAGGCAAATAGAGTCATCATGTGGTGAATGTATACAAAATATTGATCCTCCATGTTCTTGGTGTGAAGATACTGTAAGTACTCTTTGTTTTTTAGTTGGTTCGTTTATTTCATTCTTAATAAGGGGTAATTTTTTAATACCTATAATTTGTTCTTTGTCGCAGTTGTCCCTTTTTCTTTGTAAATTATTTATTTTGGTGTTGCAGCTTTTGACGAAAGAAAGCTGCTTTTCTTTTTAAGTTAGTCGAGCCAGTAATTAACAACTGAAATATTTTGGCATGAGCTCTTTAACTGTCAATTATGAAATTGTTGAAATTATTGAAGGGTTTTACAACATGGAAGGCTTTAAAGGGAATTTTCGTTGGTTCAAAAATAATAACAGCTTTTGACCTTTATGGCGGCTTTTTGTTTACATAGGAGTATGTTTGGTTAGAGCAACCAAGAGACAGATGTGATACACATGCTAACCACACCAAAAATGGATGCAAGAATATAGCAAATCCTAAATCCAAATTGGTTACAAATGAAGTAAGTTAATAATTCTGTAAGTATACTATAATAAGATAATAATTTTTATTCTTATAAGTCTGGCTGTAAATCTCCTTCTTAATGTGCAAACTAGCTTGTCAGAATGTACTGTTACAAAATGTTCAAAACTAAGTTGACAGTCTGTTGTGAGCCTCTTTTCTCGACTCTCGTTTCCTGCGCAAATCAACTACTTATTTAGAATGGAGTCTCAGGAGACAGAAAACAGTACATTCAGCTACACTGTATGTCTGATTTCTCAATAATTTCAGAACACAACATACAGTGTAGTTTATGCCTTAATTTCTCTAATATTCTCATCGCAAACAATAAAATTAATCTACAGTTCAGCTCAGAAATAACCATTCAAAAATTTGCCCGCAAATCACATGTGCACAATTTGCGCATATGCGTCTTCGTCTGCGTCCATTTTAGATGCGTCTGATTAGTATGTTGTATGAGTTAGCTTATTGTCTATACTTACTGTTCTCATTTTTTTGTTAGTTTTATCGGACCTTATTGTAAGTGAATTGATCTTAAACGATGAAATTAGATTTGGGCAGTTGAGCAACTGTATAAAAGTAAACATATATTTATCTACCTATAGCGTGACTCGAACATTTTTTTTAACAAGTCCTCATCATCAGGACTAAATGTTTTCATGAACAACTGTTAGTAGTTGAAGCATCTTGTTCGTTAAAACTGAAAAGTTTCAATTTTAAGAAAGGGTTCTAGAATGAACACTTATTTCAGAAAGTAAACCTATTTCTCTACCTAGACTGATCGCAAGAAATGTCTATGATATAAATTTATAAAGCACAATTAGTGTCAGTCATTTGGCTACAGTGAAGTTAGCTAAGAACTTTTGCTGCATCACTTTGTACTTATAAACATTCACAGAACATATTTCCCAAGGAGTCAATGGAGCCAGCAATGTTTATTAGGAAGATGTTTAGACTTACCCATCATCGATACCCAACATTTTGTGTCTTTGGCAAAACATGAATGTATCAATCAATCAATCAATCATTTATTTTGACACGTTACATTGAGGAGCTAAAAAACTTGTTCAAAATACGAACGTGTATAAATAAAATCTATAATAATTATTACAGCTACCATATTTATTCAAATAAGCGCCCAACCTCAAATTAGCGCCCACCTCAAATAAGCACCCATCCCAAAGGCAGAAAAAGTTAATAAGCGCCCGGCCTCGAATAAGCACCCACCCCACCCCACCCCACCTCCCTTCCAATCCCTCTCAAACTCAATAGAGCACCCACCCCCACCCCACCCACTTTCCCCCTCCCAACCCCCAAAAATTGAATGAGTTCTAATAAGAGACTTCCCCGAAGATGGTGTTTTCTTCAGAGTATTTACAGAAACCTTGCTTTGTTACATCTTTGTGTTTTGTTATTACCATTTATTGTTTTGTTGCAAAATAAACGTACTACACTTGCTGAAAATGTTGAAAATTTAATAAGCTCCCAGCCTTGAATAGGCGTCCACCTCGAATAAGCGCCCACTCTCAAAGTCCAAAAATGTAATAAGCGCCCAGGGGGGTTAATCAAATAAGTACGGTATATTTTAATATTATTTTACTTTAAAAACAACTCAATAAATATTCGAAAACTTAGTAATAAAAACATAAAATATAAAAAGCTAAAACCTACTAAAAAGCCATATACTAAAAGCAAAACAGGAAAACTAAGAATGTATATGTATAAACAAGATTTGATGTGCACAATGTCTGACGCCTCAATGAACATCTCTCATTGANCCAACCCCCCAAAATTGAATGAGTTCTAATAAGAGACTTCCCCGAAGACAGAGTTTTCTTCAGAGTATTTTACGGAAACCTTGCTTTGTTAAATCTTCGCGTTTTGTTTTTACCATTTATTGTTTTGTTGCAAAATAAACATACTACACTTGCTGAAAATGTTGAAAATTTAATAAGCTCCCAGCCTTGAATAAGCATCCACCTCGAATAAGCGCCCACTCTCAAAGTCCAAAAAAGTAATAAGTGCCCAGGGAGGTTAATCGAATAAGTACGGTATATTTTAATATTATTCTACTTTAAAAACAACTCAATAAATATTTGAAAACTTAATAATAAAAACATAAAATATAAAAAGCTAAAACCTACTGAAAAGCCATATGCTAAAAACAAAACAGGAAGACTAAGAATGTACATGTATAAACAAGATTGGATGTGCAGAATGTCTGACGCCTCAATGAACATCTCTCATTGAGGTATGAAGTGTAGCTTAAACAAACAAATCTTCCATGCTCCTATAATCATTTGATTTGCATTGATCAATCATTCATTTGTGTTGGTTTCTATATGAAAGAAAAACAAAATTATGATAAGCTAGGTGGAAATGATGCAATCATTGCAAACTTTTGCATGCTGTTTGCTTTGCCCTATGTAATCTGATTCTCGTTGATTAGCAGATGATTAATAGATCGAACCAAGACAAGCGTAGGCAAGCATAGGCTTACGATCAACTGACTTCTTAGTACCTTTGCGTGACATGTAGTACCTGCAGAATATGCAAATTCTCTCTCGTTTGGGTGCCATGAGATTTGACTATGATGTCAGCTGCACTGTATCTTGTTGTTCACTTGTAGGATAGACAACTTGGTTCAGATGTCAAGGTGAAACCACAGAATGTTACTCTGTCACTTAGACCAGGTGAGTGATAATTATTAATTGCCACATAATAATTATGGAGCGATCATCATTCTTTTTTCTCGTCAGAAGGGAGACTAGTGTATGTTACAGATCAAAATTAAATTCAAGTTAAACTTTTTAAACCAAAATTAATTCTCAATTTCCCCTGTCTTCTAGACCTGACTATTCATGAATGATTACGGCTAGGACATAAAATCAGTGAACCTAGGTTAGAAAATTTTATTCTGAATTTAATTTTTTCCTGCATAAAAGGCTACATTATATGTGTTATTGACCAAGAGTGAGGTGCAGGTTGCTTGAAATTAATTGACCAGTTTCCTTTTTTTGCCTTTTATTGACTGGCAGAGGTTTTATAGTCTGTACATGTATTTGCTTGACTGTGATGAATATTATACTGTATTTCATGGTTCCACAGGTCAACCAGCCACAGTTAAGGTTGTCGTTAAGATGCCAGAAAATTATCCGGTAGATTTGTATTATTTGATGGACTTATCAGGTTCCATGGTAGAGGACCTTAAGAAGTTTCCCGCCCTTGGAGAGAGTATAGGTTTGCAACAGTAAATTGCATTTTATGTGTACAGTAGTTCTCATTTGTCACCAACATACCTGCAGTATAATCACTGGTTAACATTAAATGGCTAAGGTACTGTTTTGATGGATCTGAGAATACATGTAGAATTTCGAAATCACCAGATGAGCTACCCCATTTTTTGCTGCAGCATGCCTCCAATTGAAGTGAGTTAACTTCAGAGGCATGCTGGCAGTAAATATCTGTGGTGGTTTTTGCTCCAACCATCGCATAATTATTTCATTCTCATATGCTGGAACAGTATCACAGGCAGTAACAGTACTAGTGGCTCTTTCACAGGTTTAGTGTACAGTAGGTCGTTTGGCTGCATACATTGTACGTGTACATTGTATATAAAGCATAATACAATTAACGACTGTAGTTCATCTTCAACAATATAGATCTGGTAACAGATCTATTTCAAAACACACTAGGCTCTCCTCAAAGGAAATTCTACTGCTCACAGGATGTCTTCGTGATTCCTCGACAAATCACATGCTAAAACATAAACCTAAATAAGTCATCAAGGAAAAGATCAGAGCTCTGCCAACTACGTCTGTTCTGTACAGTCATGTAAAAGACATTGTTTTGATAAATTATGCTCTGGTGTCATACTGTATATACTGGTACAATGTGTGTTCTTAATTTTGTGGTTGTTGTTGTTTGTTTTTCTTTCATTTACTTTATTTGACAGCAAAAGAAATGAAAAACATCACATCCAATTTTCGTCTTGGTTTTGGGGGATTTGTGGACAAGCCAAGAGCTCCATATATTGACACTCAACCTCAAAGGTAAGTACTATTTGTTTTATCAGCTCAATTTTGTTGTGTACATTTGTGTATACTTTTCTTTTCATGACCCAGCCACTATTAGTCTGCTACACAGCCGTTTTTAGTGTCGTCACGCAACGAGGAGCATTGCGTGACATAGATAGATAATCTTTATTTATCCATGGTACAAAATTCGTCAGCTTTAAAAATGCCTAATACTACAGGGTTCGAAATTAACGGGCGTCCAGTCATCAGAGACGACCAAAATTTGACCCTGACGACCAAATCTCTGAACATGGTTGCCCCTTGGACGATTAGAATTTAGCTGTCTATTAACAGAAACTTTCTGCTAACTTAAGATATGGACAATTATCATTATAATGAAAAATTATAATCCTAAGTCAGTATTTCTGCTTGATAAATGGTAAACTAAGTCTTTAAAAATTATCACTTCTTTTCCGTTTCTTTACAATTCATACGTATACGAATATAATAAAAATATTTAAATAAAAAAGCTGCTTTTCCACGAATGCCGTGCCTTACAGTTCTTTGAGTAATCGTTTAAATTGCCTAAGGGACTCTGCTTCCCTTAATTAGTTACAAGGAAGACTGGTCCAGAGAATGGCGCCACTATAGACGACCCTAAAAACGACTGTGTAGCAGACTAAGCCACTATAAGCGTTACGTAGCAATTGCTTTAGGGACTTTAAGATCCAACGACGCGACAACAACGAGAACGTCGCATAAGAAGTGGATTTGCGTTCTTTCAGTCTTTATAGTGATTACTCCTACCATACTTACTTTGTCAAATGTAGGCAAACCTTCCTGAAGCTGAATTTCCAGTGACCATATCCAAGCTCAGAAAATGAAATAAAATTTCGCCGTTTCTTGTTTACGCCCTCCATAAAACGCGAAATAAGGCATTTTCACGACGTGGTCGTGCAAAAACGGGAAAGAAATGTACAAAAAAGCGTGGTGC